TGTGTGTCTACCGCTATCGAGCGAAGACGCGTGGCAACAGCTGCGAGTGAGAATCCGACGTGTTTCCGGCGAAGAAGTTTGAAGCTTTGAGAGCGGCGAATTGAAGACGCGAGGTTTCCTGGAAGAGAAACTGCGGGGGCAGCGGAACGACAACAACGCTGGACTTTGAGTGAGTGATTCTCGGAAGAGTATCATCCAGACTTTTGTTTCAAGAACTTTGGACTGAATAAGTTTTCTAACTCTTTAGTCTTTAAGTGTCTTGGTTGTTCGATGCATGCGACTTCATTGTAGTGCGTGTTGTTGTCTGTGTCCATTGTTTCGAGAGTGGTTGATTGTACTGCGTAGTACGTTGTTTGAATGGTGACATATTTTATTCAACTATTGTCAAGTGTGCAAACTTGTGTATCATTTTGATCTGCCATAATTGAGAACATAATTTTGTTTTGTTTATCAACTCTCGGCTCTGACTTGTTCTTTGGGCCACAGCCGGCGTCCGCTGGCGCGCCAAATAGGGCCACTTCTAAACTGTCCACGCTTTCGTGGTGCGGTTTGGGGGGCCGATACTTCGGCCCTTGGAATTAGCCCGGCGATCGCCTCCCGAATCAACGGCACCTGTGACAATCGGACAATAATACCTGTGGCGGATTCTGGGCAAAGTCCGGCTAACACCCAATTCCCAGCTGAAGGGTCATCGTGTCATGCTTCTAATATTTCCGCTCGCAGTGAAGATGGTACGAGAAACAGAAAAGTCTCACAACTGTGTTCGAAGTTTCGCTTATAGAGGACGCCATTCCGGAGAACATAGAAACGTAGTCCCCGGTCGCAACCTCGCGGTACCCTTGCTGGCTGACCCTCCAAGTATTGGATAAGCAGGAGCAGAGCCGGATCCATTCGTTGTTGACGGGACATATCGGACGCGTCGAGAGCTCCAAGAAATTGGAAATCTTCGTCATTTTCAGAAGATGACTGTTCAACTGGTCCACGTGACAGGCAATCTGCGTCATTGTGCTTGAAACTTGATTTTTACAGAACGGTGATGTCATTTTCTTGCAGACGTAGGCTCCATCTAGCAAGCCTTTGTGAAAGGTTCTTTATATTTGCCAGCCAACACAATGAGTGATAGTGACGGATCGGCCTGAAAGGTTTGATTGCTATCTGGTGTTTAACGTCCCAAAACCACCATATGAATACGAGAGACGCGTAGTGGAGGGCTCCGGCAATTTTCACCACCTGGGGTTCTTTAACGTGCACCGAAATCTGAGCACACAGTCCTACAACACTTCCGCCTCGATGGGAAATGCAGCCGCTGAAGCCGTGATTAAATCCCGCGACTTGCGGGTGAGCAGCCGAGTACCTTAGCCATCAGACTACCGCGGCGGGGCTGCCCTAAAAGGTTTGCCATATAGACACCAATGCAACTTACTGATGGCCCATGTAACTGTGAGGCATTCTTTCTCTTTAGCAGAGTAATTGGACTCGGTATTAGAATGCACCTTGTGTATGCAATAAGTCCTTTTTGTCCATTCTGTCATTGAATGAGATTGGCGTCAAGCCTAACGTTACTGGCGTCGGTATGGATGCCCATTTTGGCATCTTCGTCAAAGTCAGCAAGAATAGAAGGAGATTGCAAACGGCCGCGCAACTCACAGGAAGCATCTTCTTGTTCTTTCTGCCAGGCAAACGACACACCTCCTTTTGTAAGTCGTGTCAATGGTTCAGCGAGCATCGCGAAGTTTTCAATGAAGCGTCTATAGAGTCCCAGGAATCGTTTCAAGGCCTTCTTGTCCCGTGGCATCAGAAAATTTTCGACAGCTGTAATCTTTTCGGAATCTGGGCGGACACCTTCAACACTAACAATGTACCCGAGGAACCGACGCTCGCGAAATTCGAAGTCGCATTTTTGCGGTTTGATAATCAGTGCTGCTGCACGAATGACGTTCAGTGCTGTCCTGAGACGGCGGATGTGCTGCTCGAAGGTAGAAGGAAAAACTACTACATCATCGAAATCGACGAGGCACGATTGCCATTCAAGTCCGCAGAGGACAATGTTCATCATTCTTTGGAAGGTTGCGGGAGCAGAACACAAGCCAAAAGGGAGTACTTTGAACTCGTATAGACCATCTGGTGTCACAAGCGCTGTCTTCTAGTGATCCCGCTCAACTAGTTCGATTTGTCAGTATCCGCTTTTTAAATCTAATGACGAAACAAATGAGCATTTTGTAGCTTGTCCAGGGCATCATCAATTCGCGGTAGTGAATAAACGTCCCGCTTCGTGACGAGGTTCAGCCTTCTGTAGTCAACACAAAACCTCAGGGTATTGTCCGTCTTTTTGACCAGTACCACCGGTGATGCCCAAGAACTATGTGATGGCTGTATTACATCATTTTTCAGTATTTCCTGTACTTGTTTGTTTTTATGGCTTCTCGTTCTTTCAGAGCTACTCTATATGGACGTTGATGCACTGGTCCAACATTTTCAACCATGATGCGGTGCTTGAAGACTGGAGTGCGTCCGACTTTCGACGAAGTGGAAAAACATTACGCAAATTTTTTATCAGATCAACAATCTGCTCTCTCTGTGGAGATGAGAGCTCGCTTGTCAATGTCTGTTGATTCAAGGACGCTGCCCACTGGTTCAAAATCGGGTTGGTCTCTATCAAGAGTGCAAACATTGGCAACTTGAATATATTCATGCAGCGTTTGTGTAGCTGTTCCCTTCGCTACATGCTGCACCTCACTACCAAAGTTGGTCAATGGGACGTCCGCACATTCATTACGAATGTTCACCAAACCTCTTGCCACGCAGATTTCCTTTTCAGTTAGCTGTCCGATGCTTCCATCTGCTAGCCCCACATAATCACGAAATATGTCACTTTTAACGAGAACGGTCGCACTTGAACGTGGCGGCACTGTTACGTCTTTATCCACAATGCGGAAAGATAAAACGGCTGGTTGATCTATTTGACACATTTCGACAGCGTTCTCTGTGAAAAAGGAGCCATTAGATTCTTGCTAGTCTATGATCGCGCTGTTTGCCTGTAACAATTTCGTGCCTATAATCAGCTCATGGGAACGCTCTGGACGAACAATGAAGCTGCCGACATGGACGAATCCCCTAATCCCTATTCTTGATGTGCAGAGTCCCACGGGGCTAAGTGCCCTCCGGTGGTACGTATTTGCCGTCCCGTCCACTGAGTCAGTACATTTTTCAACTTCTTTTCAAGAAGGCTACTGACCACGGAGTACTCCGCCCCAGTGTCAATTAGTTCACTGGCTTACAGGTCGTTGATGAAGACTAACAGTTCACCGGTAAAGTCACCCTTACTGCACTTATATGTCGCTATGCAACTGCAATCGTCTGGTCGGGCCAGCGAAGGAGGCTCTTCTAGTCGCTGGCTCTAGTTTTCCCGGCTCGGGCTAGGTGATCGAGGGCTCGGGAAAATGGATGATGGTCTAAGGCTCAGCGACCAGTAGCGCATTGGAGCTGTTGATTGCGATTTCCACTGCTGAGTGTTTTGATGCGTATGGCGCGATGACAAAAACTCTTAGATCTCGTAGATCTCTTAGATCCCCTCACCGTTCCGTGGGCAGGGTACATTGACAGGAAAACCGCGCAGTCGTACTGGACGATAGTGACACACTCGATAAAGGTGACCTGCCTCTCCGCAGTGGTAGCCAAGGGGGCGTTAATCTGCAGTGCGCCACTCACCGCTTTTACGGGGCCTGCCTTCCGGAATGGGCGGTGGCGTGCCGCGCGGAAATGTCGAGGGCATAACGTCAGCTTGAGCAAAGCTTTTGCGTCCAAGGTTCTGTCGCACTACTTGCGCACACTACTACTGAGGTCTAGGTTGTGGTTGTGCTCAGTGCAGCACTTGGGGCTGTGGCGGAAGAATAGTTTGCCGCACTTCTTCACGCATAACATCCGCGAGTGAAGGCACCGCTGGTGGGCTTTGCGTGAGTTGTATTTTCTGTTATGTTTGTGTCCGGAGCCCCGCGGCGCAGAAACCACACGAGACAGCGGCTGGCAGGAGACTGTTTATTGCTTTCCTTTAGACGCGGACGAGAGGAGGTTAGGAGAGGGTAGAGTCACTCCAGCGAGCGCACATGTGCAACACGATGTGCGGCAGCTGGGACGAGCGTCCAAACAGCGCCAGGCGGGCGACGCGTTGGGCAGCACCTGCAAGTGAGGCACAACACATGGAGCAGCCGTGTTTCGGTTGCGCGTGCGTACACAACATCCCTCACCCCTTAGACGGGGTCACCGTATCGGACAGGTGGACGCCGATCACGTTGGTGCCTCGGCGCAGTCTGGTGCTGCGCAGACCCGCTGGGTTGGTCATCGCAAGCTTGCGTCACACAAGTGTCCAACCTGGCCTCAGCTTCCCGATGTTTGGAGTCGGGCGTTGTGGGAAGATCAAGCGGCGGCAATGCTTCCACTGGGAGCGAGATCACGTACGGAGCCGGCACTGTGTCTTGTTGATCACTTGCTGCTGGTCGGGTAGTTAGATCATTCCACGGCAAATCTTCTGTCGGGTAGGCCTCTGCACCTGGCTTCATGTGATCAAGGTGCCGACGAACTGTTCCACTTCCTGACTTCATTAGCCAAGATTGATGTCCGAGTCTCCTTAACACAGTTCCGCCAACCCAAGCAAGACTTCCTTCAAAGTTGCGGAAAAAGACCGTTTGCCCGATGGCCACCTTTCTTGGCAATTTCGTAGCGCTGTGGTCAGTGGTCATCCTCTCAGCTGGTCGCGGCTGAATGCGTGTCAGTGCCGTTGAGAGTTCGCAACCGAACATGAGTGCAGCTGGCATTTTGCCTGTCGCTACTTAAACGGTGGTGTGCTGTTTCAGCTGAAAACGAGCGAGCCTGGACGCACATGTTCCTGACTGATCCTTTGCCAGTGCCTGTTTCGTTGCATACACCATTCTTTCGGCTTGCTCATTCGTGGCTCGATGATAGGGTGCACTTGTGATGTGCATCACCCGATTCTTTTTCAGAAATTATTCCATTTCCGCAGAAACAAAGGACGGGCCGTTGTCCGTGACCAGCCTCTGGGGAATGCCGAAAGTTGCCAACAGGTTTCGCATTTCCTCGATCAGTGTCCGCGACCGCATATTCCGCATGATGTGCACATTGAGCCACTTGCTGTATGCGTCGACTACAAATAACAGCATCCTTCCCTCCACAGGCCCAGCGAAGTCACCGTGGATTGTGTGCCATGGTGTTGTCGCACGTTTCCATTGGGGGGCTGGTGCTTTAGTTGGTATTTTCTGGTGCTGGCAGCAAGTTGCACAACCTTCGACCACCCGCTCTATGTCGTTGTCGACACCGGGCCACCAAAAATAGCCTCGAGCGCACGCCTTCATAGCCACCACGCCCCTGTTACCCGCATGTGCAAAGTCGAGAACGTCTTTCCTTGCTTTCTCTGGAACGACCAGTCTAGCACCCCGGATTACGCAACCCTCCTGTAGCGAGAGCTCGTGCCCAAGCTTTGCGACTGCCGAAAATTCCTGCTTGGGCGACCGGTGTAGTTCTCCGTTTGAAATGGCTGTCATCACGCGGGATAACAGTGGGTCACTCCAGGTGAGCTCAGCCAGTTGACACGGTGACAGCTCGAAACGTGGCGCAGACGCAAGCATAAGAACATCTCCCGGAGGGCACGCTCATCTACCTGCGCGAACAGTGGCAGCCTGCTGAGCGTGTCAGCATTTTGGTGCAGACGTCCAGGCCTGTACACGAAGTCGCAGTCATATGGGGCCAATTTGAGACACCATCGAGTCATCCTCGGTGACAATATCTGAAGGATTTGCATCTTTTCTCCCATGATGCCTAGGAGTGGTTGGTGATCCGTTAATACGGTCACCTGCCGGCCAGCAACATATTGGTGAAAGTGGCTGGCAGCATAAACTACCTCAACACCTTCTTTATCGAGCTGTGAGTAGTTTTTCTCGGCGGTTCCCAAAGTTGGTGACGCGAATGCAATGGGAGCCTCTCGGCCGAACGCATTCTTTTGAGAGAGAATCACGCCGATGCCGTATGGGGACGCATTCACAGACAGAATGAGAGGCCTCTTTTCATCATAGTGTGCAAGGACTGTCGAAGACCTAATCATTATCTTAAACATATCAAAAGCAGCCTCGTGTTTTTTCTCTCACTTCCAGGGCGTGTTCTTCTTGAGAAGACTATACAACTCTGCAGCTACCGTCGCTGTGTTCTCAAAGAAACGATCGTAAAAGGCGAGAACCCCCAAGAAAGCCTGTCCCGAGGTCTTTTCCGTCGGTTTTGGCGCTTCGAGGATTGCCTTTACCTTCTCTTTGGTCATAGGACAGCTTGAGCGTCGATTTTATGACCGAGAAACTGGACTGAGCTGATACCGAAGTGGCACTTCTCTTGCTTGAGTCGCAGACCTTTGTCGCTTAGCCTCAACAGGACTTGCTCTAGACGTTGCGCATGCTCTTTAACGTCCTTCCCGCTGACAATAATGTTGCCAAGGTAGACAGACACTCACCCCCTTGATTCCGGCAAGTGTAATCTCCATCATCCACTGGAAGATGACTGGCGCAGCGGATACTCAAAAAGGGAGACGCTTCACCTTGAACAGTTTTTCGGTGGTGTTGACGGTAAGCAGTGCAGCTGTCTTGTCGTCCACTCTTAGCTGCTGATAGACCTGGTAAAGGTCTAGCGTCAAAAACGTCGTCCCACCACGCAACTTTGCGAACACCTCCACAGTTGTCGGGAGCGGGTACGCAGTATTCTTGACCACCGCGTTAACTGTGCTCCTGTAATCTCCACAAACGCGAAATGTTCCAACCTTATTGCGCACCCACACCAACGGTGTGGCCATTTCGGCTTGTTGCGTCGGCTCTAGGATACCTTGTTTTTGAAGGCGGTCCTGCTCTTCCTCCATAGGCTCTTGGTAAGCTAGGGGCACTGGCCGTGCTTTGCAAAATTTGGGTGTGGCACTTTTTTCCATGTCCAAGTGTACCAATGGACACACGTAGCCGTCGATACCTTCCTTAGATACACCAGGATGGTGTGGGAGAACATCCTGTATCTCTTGACTTGGTTCATCGACCTGGTTTACTCCGTGAACACGTATTTTCAGTGTTGAAAACCAGTCAAGCCCGAGCAGGTTGCACCCAGTCCCTTTCATTACCAGCAGGGGCAGCAAGTAGTCCTTTGATTTGAAACGCACACGAACTTGTGCCGAACCGAGGGTGCTAAGTTCTTCCCCTGACCAGGTGCGTAAGTTTAGGGGTTCTCTCGAAAGCTTAGGGGCGTTCGATGGCCACGTTTGGTGGTAGGTAGCCTCATTGATAAGAGAACATGCGGCGCCCGTGTCCACTTCGAATTTCAGGGGCCTTCCCTCGACTTTTACGTAAACGAGGAATTTAGGGCAGTGTTGTCGCCCCCTCACGGCATGTAGGTCGTAGCACCTATCGGTGTCCGCGAGGTCGTAGCTCACAGGTTGAGCGTTAACCAGGTGAGTTCCTTGCCGGGCGTTGAGGTTTCCTCCTTTAATTTTCTTCTTTTTGGAGATGCAGGCGTTCTCAATGTGACCCTTTTTGGCACAAAAACGGCATTGCGCTGTCTTGAACTTGCAGGTGTCAGTCTCGTGCCAGCCATCGCATCGGTAGCAGCGCCGTTGCTGAGCCGAATGTTTGGTTTCCTTTTTAGACTGCGAAGTCTTGTGCACTTCCGCAGAGCTCATCGCTCCGTCGTCCTTTAAGGCCTTGTTGCTGCTTCGACGCACTTTTGGACGACAGGGCCAAGTCCAACGCGCGTTGATAAGTCAAGTCTTTCTCCGCAAATAGTCGCTGCTGGAGATGCTCGTCTCGGATGCCGCACACGAACTGGTCGCGAAGCATCACATCTTGGGGCAGCATGGTGGGGTTTGTAAGAACGGCTGCGTGGCCTTCTGCCGGTGGCGTCGATGTAGCAGACGTTGTCGCTGGCACTCCGAAGTTATAGTCAGCTAACAAGCTTCTGAGGGCAGCAATGTAGTTGCTGATCGAGTCTTCCGGCCGCTGGTCGCGTCGCTGGTACATGTACCGGCTGTACAACTCAGACAGTCGTGGATCGAAGTGCTTCTGCAGAAGGGCAACTATGTCGACATAGCCCACCTCTCCAGGAGTCTTCGGCGCGACCAAGGCGCAGGCAGTTTCAAAGGTGTCGGCTCCCCATAGCGTCAGGAGGAGCGCGCGTTTTTTTTTTGAGGGGGGGGGGATTCGTTTTAGACGTCGTCCGCCACGAAGTAGAAGGTCAGGCGTTGGATCCACGATGACCACTTCTTGCCGCTAAAAGGCTCGATGGCGTTCTGCATTCCTGCAGTAGCCATGGGTGTAACCGAGAGAGCTGCGCACTTAATAAATTCCACTTCTTGTCGCCAGTGTTATGCTTGTGTCTGGAGCCCCGCGGCGCAGGAACCACACGAGACAGCGCCTGGCAGGATACTTTTTATTGCTTTCCTTTAGAAGCAGACGAGAGGAGGTTACGGCGAGGGTAGAGTCACTCCAGCGAGCGCACACGTGCAACACGATGTGTGGCAGCTGGGACAAGAGTCCCAACGGCGCCAGGCGGGTAGCGCTTCGGGCCGCACCTGCAAGTGAGGCACAACACATGGAGCGGCCGTGTTTCGGTTGCACGCGCGTACACAACATTTTCTGTAGCTCTTCCCTTACGACAGCTCTCACTACTTCGCGCAGAACGTCAATGTTGTTGGTGAGGGTAACCGACACCACGCTAGCTGGACAGACGTTCACGTTCCTGTTGTACTGTCGTGCACGCTGCTGCTGTGTCCTCTGCATTGTCGTTGGCTGTGATCTAAACTCTGCCACGGTCCGCGGAAGATTACGCACCACGCCTGCAAAAATCTCCTCCTTTACTCCGCGCATCAGGTGCCGCAGCTTCTTCTCTTCGGCCGTGTACATAGCTACGCTCTTATTGATCCTTTGATTTCTTCCAAGAAGAGTGGCCTCTGCCTTCTCCTTGCGGTGAGTGATCGGGTAGGGTAGCCGGTGTTCGGGTAGGTAATGAGCAGCTCCTCTCAAAAGTCATCCCGTGTGAACAATGACGCTATGTGATTTTCAACCCACGTATGTGCCGAATGTCGCAGTGCCACGTAGACATAATGAAGTTTTTTGGCTTCATCCCAACCATTCAAACCGGCGAAACGTTTGAAGTCAGCAAACCAGTCCTCAGCAATTTTTTAAATGTCACAGTGGAAGACCTCTGGTACCCGGGGTGAATCCGCGGCAATACCGGACAGAGACGGTATCGCTTGAGGGGCCATCATGGTGATGTTTGCGATCTCCACTGCACTTGACAAATTGCAGAGGGGGCCAACTCGGACTACTCACCTCGTAGACGGGGACTCGTACATTCGTGAACAGGCGTCAATTCCACTGGCTCCAACCTTGGGGGGTCCGGAGTTAGGTCCCTGGCCTGTGATGGACTTGGGAACATACCCAGCACCTCGACCAGATGTTACCAACAAATGGTACACCTCTTGGCAAAGAATATTTATTCAGGGTGAACTTGTGCCCGAAAACTTTAGACAACCTTACACACAAAATGTTCCTCGCAAGCCACATGAACGTCTCTGACCTGTTATTCTCTCACGCAGCCGTGAACTGGTCACAACACAAGCCGTCAGTATTCTTGTTTTAGCGCAAGGTGTGGTGGAACGCGCAGACTGCCGGTGCATTGCGCGCTTTTCTTGTTATTTGTTTGAAGGCATCTACAAGAGCAGGAAGCAGGGTTAGTCGTCGGAGAATAACGAGAACCTATATATATATATATACATATATAGGTTATATATATATATATAATATATATATATATATATATATGGGCAGGCATGGTGGTTGAGTGGCCGTAGCGTTGCAAGTAGTCAAGTAGATCCTCCGTGAGCGGTCACAACGTGGTTTATCTCGACATTTCGGCCTAGAGTCTGGCCTTCATCAGGATTGAGCATACAGTTTGTTGGTGCTCAGCTTTATACAATCTTGAATCATTGGGTGAGAGAAAAAAAAGAGGATAATATATATATATATAAATATATATTCGATTCCTGCTCACAGCTGGTAATTTTTTCATCCACTTTTCTTTCTTCTTTCTTCTTATTTACATTCCATTGGTTCTAATAACTTCCCCTGTACATTCCTTGGCATTACTGTCTGTTATATCTCATTAATATTGTGTTAAAAACACGGAAATACGAGCCCTTAGGTATACACTTCTCTCCCTTATATATATATATATATATATATATATATATATATATATATATATATATATATATATATATATATATATATATATATATATATATATATATATATATATTTATATATATATATATATGAAATGTTAGAGCCGAGATAGCCTGCGCCGTCGATTCTCGTGAACATTCGAGTATCATCTGCAAAATACTAACAGCGAATATGGCTTGGAAAGTATTTTAAATTAATTTTGAAGTTTGCGTGAGTGACCGACATGCTAACGCTATAGACACTCTCGGAGAGGACCCCGAGGGGACCCCCTACTTTCCTCACGTCACCGCGCTGCGGTCAACAAAACAAGTTATTATGAGGTCATAGCCGCCATTTTTTTATTTGCCGCGTTAGTTCCCGAAGTCTATATTTCTCGGTGGCCGGTCGCGAGTGCGTGGCCGTGACGCATGCTTAAAAAGTCTTGTGTTTGGCGACATTCCAGTCCTATTTCCTATGCAAAAGTAATTCCTGATATGGACCGTGTGGAAATGTGTCAAAGTTTTGTGTACTGACGTGGTCAAGAGCTGCACACGCTAGGTGGCAACAGTTACACCCAGTTTTTGGAACTCTCTCAAACCGAAACTTAAACTGATTATTAATGAGGGGCCTATAATGAATTATCTCTCACGTGTTGCAGCAAACGATGTGTTGTTTGTTGACTAACAGGCCCCCAGCAACGCATTGCAGCAGAAAAACGTGAGGCCAAAATTTTTGTGACGGTGCCCCTTTAAGGGCTCATGTTTCCGTGTTTTCGACACAGTATAATGAGACTTAACACACAATAATGTCAAAGAAAGTATAGAGGAAGTTAGTCGGAAAATTGTAATGTAAATGTGAAGAAAAAAAGTTGGCGAAAAGATAACTTGCCACGGGCAGGACTTTACATGAGTCAATCCATGCCAAGTATCCCAGAAATGGCGCTCGCCGTCTCAGATTCTGTCGATATAATCTACACTGTTTGCGTACACCGCATGGCGTATTGTGGCCAAACATTCTTGGGCAAAAACTCTTTCCAAGGCTGTGGTACTCCCTCAAAGTTTGTTTGCTTTTGCCAAAGTGTGCGCTATAGAAAAATGTATGTAAAATCCATATTTGTTTGCGGAGCTTCAAAACAGCGCTTGAGCTATCAAGAAAATTTTGCTTAGTTTTGCTACTGAACCGTATCAAAATTTTTGCATTTGCTAACAGCTAGGCCTTTTCAAAAACCACAAAAATCTTCAATGTTTACCATTTTTTACCATGGTAGCGGAAACTGTCTTTAAGCGATCCTAATATTATTGTGGTTTTCAGGAATATTCACTCTCGTACAAGAATGTTTAGGGGCCAAATATACTTTAAATCATTCCGAACAATTTTGGAATCGGCAAAATTATGCAGTCAGTCTAGTACTTGACCGAATTTTTCGTACTGATGTGGTCCAAGAAAAAAAAAAACTCATGATCCTGTGTTCGATAGGCCACTCTGTGGTTATGTGATGAAAAATGCCTAAGCTAATAGTGTTTGTTTTGGGAAGAAAAAATAATAAATTGGCCCTCAGAGCGCACCTTGAAATCTTTGTTCCAATTCAGCGCAAAGCACGTCGTCTCTCCTTCGGCTGACAGTAAACACAGGAAGTGGTGACGTTCGAGATGTATGTCAGCGGCTTTTGTGTGTTCGAAAGCCTTGTTGCTTTGGTGTCAAGGCCACGAGCATTGCGTTCGCTTTACACTGTGAGCTTGCTCGGCTTGCCAGTTGGGAAGCATGTGAGCAGCACAGAAGCTTGCAATATCGTTGACACAAATAGTACACGTTGTATACACTTTCGCTTGCGTACACTAGTAGTGCACAAAGCCCTGTAGCACCATGTGCCAACGATACTGCAAGCTTGCGTATACTTCTCAAAGAGCATGCCAAGTAACCTCACACCGTAAAGCGAACTCTATACTCGTGGCTTTGCATTCAAACTAACAAGACTTTCGACCACTCACTAACCGCTTACATACATCTCGCACCTTACTGTTTTTTGCGACGAGTGCCCGCCAAAAGGGCGGCCACGTGCTTTGCGGTGAAATGACCAAAAAGAATGCAGGGTGCACTTTCAAGGCCAACTTCAAAATTCATTTTCTTCCTAAAACAAAAAAAAAACATTCATCAGATCATCAGACTTTCTTCATTACTTGACCATGAAGTTGTCTTATAAACTCCGCATTATGAAAACCGCATCAGTCCAAGAAATGTGGTCAAATATAGGACAAATCGCTTATATTTGCCGATTTGAAATATTTTTCGGGAATATTTGAAGCTCATTTCGCTCCTTAACAATTTTGTGCAAAAAAGAACTTTCCTTAAAATCACAGTAATATTGAGCTTGCTTAAAGAGAGTTCCAGATAGCATAGGAAAAACTGGCGAACTTCAAAATTTTTGAGGTTTGGAAATAGCCTAGCTGCTACGTAAGCACAAAAATTTTGGAACAGTGCAGTGCAGCACAACTGAACAAAGCTTCTTTAGTAGCTCAAGCACTGTTTGCAAGTTCCGCAGAGAAATATTGATTTTATATACATTTTTCTATTGTGCGCGCTTTGCAAAAGCAAACAAATTTTTAGGAGGCGCCACAGTATTGGAAAAAAGTGTCGTGCAACAGTGGCCGCATTACTCAATGGAGTGTACGCGAAACGTGTAAATTTTATCTGCACAATCTGAGATGGCGAGTGCCATGTCTGGGACAATTTGGCATGAAATGATATATATATATATATATATATATATATATATATATATATATATATATATATATTTTTTTTTGACGAGATATGTGGAGGGAACTTATTATCCCAGTTTTATTAAAAATTAAAAATTTGAAGAAAGAAAAGTGGTTGAAAAGATAACTTGCAGTGAGCAGGAACCCAACCTGTGACCTTCGAATAACGCGTTCGATGATCTACCACTGAGCTACCACGGCGGCTATCCCCCATGCCACTTCTTCGGGTTTAAATGTGAATTTAAACGTGAGAGCGTAAGCCAGCGCCATCCATAGCCATGGAGGCGAGTTTGCCACACTCTATATGCGCCTGTTTGACGTCACGCGGCACGTGAACTTATTACGAGCTGGCAGCTGACTAATAGTCGACAGGTGGCGCTGACTGACACTCCTGCGTTTAAATTCACATGTAAACACAATAAAGTGGCTGGGGGGATAGCCGCCGTGGTTACTCAGTGGTAGAGCATCGAACACGTTCTTCGAAGGTCGCAGGTTCGGTTCCTGCTCACGGTAATTTATCTTTTCACCCACGTTTCTTTCTTCACATTTAAAATACAATTGGTCTAACAACTTCCCCTATACATTCCTTGGTGTTATTGTCTGTTAGATCTCACTATTATTGTGTCAGAAACACGAATAAACGAGCCCTCAGGTATACACTTCTTTACCTTATATATATATATATATATATATATATATATATATATATATGAGATCTAACAGACAGTAATGCCAAGGAATGTACAGGGGAAGCTATTAGAACCAATGAAATGTAATAAGAAAGAAAAGTGGATGAAAAAATACCACGCCGTGAGCAGGTTATTCAGCTCACGGTTTCCTGCTCACGGCTGGTTATTTTTTCATCCATTTTTCTTTCTTATTTACATTCCATTGGTTCTAATAGCTTCCCCTGTACAT